TCTGGTGTGTACACATTTTAGCTTTGGTTTGCTATTTTACTGCGATAGTTTGAATTATTTTTGGGCTAATTGCTTATAAAATATGCTCAAACTTTGATGAAAAGGAAATATGATTTGGATTCCAAAATTGTTGCAGTCCTTCAATCCAAAAAAAGCGTCCACTATTAAGTTTAAAACATGACACATGTTCTTGTGATCGCATGTTTGGGGAGTGTCTTAGAATACATGCCATGTTTTAATTGACTAATATGTGGCTATATTTAATAAACATACAACAATTCGGATGAGAAAACAAAATTAATATTGATAAATAAATAAAATACACGACCAGAATCAGAATAAAAATAGGTTAGAAATTAACTTTCTGTGTTGACCCGAAAGTTCATAGTATTTTTTTAATCAATTAGCCTTATTTTTGGAGACAGGAGAGGTGGGATAATTAACAAGGGTAAAAATCTGGAATCTGGAAATTTATTCTTCACTTGCAGCAGTAGATGTGTATGATTAATATAATGTTTTTAGGGCTTTTGGAGACAGAAAATTCTATGACCTGGAATAGTATGTTCCTTAGTAAAAACAACTCCTTGGTATATTCATTAGCATACAGATTCAGATGTACTACGTGAGTAGTTTGGTTTGGAAGGCAGACAGAAGAAAGTAAATCTGAGAGAAAAGATTCCAGAAATCTAGTGGTCATAGGGACCCAGGAGTAGTCGTAGCTAGATTAATGTTATCCTGTGAGCACTAAAGCTGAAGGATTGACGTGGAAATTTCATTCATGGCAAAGGCAGCGAGTAAATTTCCTGCCTTCATCTCTTTTTCTCCTCAGATTCTCATCTCTATCAGTCACACTCCATTTCTTTCTGCTCAGAGGACATTCAGAGAAGCGAAGTTGAAACACTCAAACAAATAAAGCGTGCCCAATACCAACTTTTGGTGCGAGTAACTTATCATGAATCCATTGATTTCTGCCGCTTCCGTTATTGCCGCTGGGTTGGCAAGAACCCCTCAACATCATCTTCAACCCAAAAAAACCCACCTCAAAAGGATCTCTGGAATCCTGCCTTTTCAATCTCCAACTGTCACATGCTAAGCAAAATCGAAGTTGCCATGATAGAAGATTAAAGTGCACAATCCACAAGGTTTCATTAATACTCTCATCTCAACTGTAGTCTTAGCTTGTACTATAATTAATTTACAACACTTCGGAGAAGCAAAAACATGTAGACCACAAGATTAAATATCTTAGCAAGTAGTACTAAGTAACTCACTAGTAGCTTAGTTTGTTGCTTTGGCGGATCTTATTCAGACAGTGGTGGAGCATGCAGTCCCTTGCTTTGAACTCAAAGGTCCTGTTGGAAGAGTAGGTCCAAGAGCCATAACTGCAAGGCAATTAACATTGATTCGGTATCTGCCTGAAACCCATGTCCCTACCTTCCACCTGATCCTTCCATTAACCCTTAGATTTAGAACTAGTTTTCCAGCGGTCTGATCACGCCCCACTTCGTAATTGAAGGATGGAGCCACAGGCAATCCAGTTCCAACTAAAGATGTTGTTAATAGATTGCTATCCTGATGTCCTTGGTAGAATGGAGGAAGGGGGGAGTCAACAGTTATCTGCTGACCCTTGTAGGCAGCATAAACTTGTAACTCGTCGTAGTAAATGCCGACTTTTTGATTCGGGTTCTTGGAAAGCAGGGTAAGTTGGATAGAGGAGTTAAGAAGGTTAGGAGCTGAGAGGCTAAGTTGGTAGATATCAGCCTCTTTGAGAGAGAACTCAGGTTTGGCAGGGCGCAGGATAAGCCAGATGATCAATATTAGTGAGAGAAGGCTGGTGAAGAATGCCGAGAGGGCAAAGAAAAGCTTCTTGGATAGCTTGTTAACGTTTAGTCCTTGCTTGGCACAGTGTTTTGGAGATTCTATGGAGACTAGAGACATTTGCAGTAGGAAGGCAAAGGCGAGGGGAAGGGAAGGGGATCGAGAGGATGATGAGCAGAGGAGGTTTACAAGGCTAAGGAAGGCAGAAATGATGGGGTTAATAAAAGGGAGCACTGGAAATTACACAAAGCAGCGCAATTATTTTGCTCTGCCATGCTTGTGACTGGTTCATATATAAAGGAGTTGTTAAGAGATATTTACTTGTAAACTTCTCGAATTCACCCTTAAATCTATGGTTATAAATTCAATTAATATGTAATGCATTCATCTCCATCGTTGGATTATTCAATTCAACTAGTGCACCTGCTTTCCCTGAATGTAACGGATCTTCTAGTGTACATGGTGGGGCAATGCTATCCTTTTTAGAAAAAGCTTTCTGACTTGTTTGTTTTTCATTGCCTTGGAAGTCAATAGTATTTTCCAATATGAACTTGGAAATTCAAAAAGTGATTGCAATCTCATATTTGTTAGGGTAAGAGGTGGTTGCTTCTACGGTATTAATTTATGTGTCCCCCATAAGATAATATTGTCCATACTGTCTTTGTTTAATCATGTTCCACCAAGAGTTGATTCATTTTACAATGTCCAGCACTACTCAATGTCGTAGCATTACAAGAGCTATGTGAAGGTGGTCTTTTTCCAGGTCTTTGTCACCTTTAAAAAAATCTACAGCTTCTCCTACAATTCCTATCACAAGAGCTATTATTTTCAGTTCCTGTGTTATTTGTGGGCAACAATCACAGAAATATAGAGCGAGGAGCATTGAACATCTGATAGGGGTCCGGTATCTGAGATTTGGAACCTCTTTCAACATTGTTATCAACAGGCTTTACTTTTCAGGTTTAATTTATATTATATTATATGCATGCTTTTACAAGGGAAGGATCATCTAGCTAACGTGATGATTGACAAGATAGGATACGTTGGAAGCACTATAATGATAATTGTAAGGAAAGTAAGGCTTTTAAAAGAGCAAGATTTTATGGAGTAGTGGCCAGTAGCCTTTCTGGTGGAGTAGTGGAGATAAGTGTGTGAGTAATAATGCATTGGCCTAGTGGCTTCTCCGTAACTCTCTCTCTTTACTTGCTCAACTTGTGTACGTTCTAGTAAAGGGCTAAAAACTAACTAATTATGTTGAAAATGAAATTTAGATTCAAGGACAATAAGTTGATGGTGATTAATATTCCTGTTTAACTAATCACAAAAGTGTTTTCAAGTTGTGGGTGTCCTTAGTTTTATTGAGCTGTGCACAGGAAAGAGTTCAAAGAAGAGGAAACATTGAGAATCTCTAAACTAGCTTTGAGTAGCGGCTGCCATTACCTTTTGCTTAAGAAAAGCGTTGGTAAAGTAGGATGCTAGTTAAGAAACTATGGTTAGCGTGATGGTCGATGAAATCTCAGCCGTTCGACTCTACCATTCCATGCATGATCAGGTAAGCCTTGCATGATGAAGCCATGGGACCTCCTAATTAGGATCCTCAAAAGAATATTTCGTGTTAGAAACCATAACCCTACTTGCAGAACCCACAAGGCATTAGAGGATTGAAATCAAGGGAAAGAGTGGTTTTAGCCTTTTAGGTTCACTTTTGAATGGCTTCTGTTTGCAGTTTTCGTGTCTTCCAATCAAACAAGAAAGCTAGATGACCCCAGGATCTTAGTGATTCTTATCTGTACTCTTCTTTGCTGGATAAAATTTGCTTATTTTCTTTGTTACAGGACCCATTTTGGACCCATTATTCATTATTTATAACAGGAAAGATAAAAAAAAAAAAAAGAAGTTTGGCTTTATATTTCTGGATAAAAAAAAAGAAGTTTGGCTTTATATTTCTATGTTATTTTAGAGATAATTAAAGGATGTGCAGATGAGACTGGTGATTGTGGCTCTCGTACTAGCTTACTGTTTAGGATTCTCCACAGTATTGCCACTACGTGTTAGGTGTAATTTTTGTTGCAAGTGTGGATTAAAAAAAATTATATATTTTAGTTATATTGTGGTTTTTACAACCAAGATTTTTTTAAAAAAAAAAACGCTTTTAACTAATGATGGAACAAAATATAGTTTCGACGAAGCCTCCTCACTGTCTCTTAAATGCTTCAGAATGGGAGTGCTACGCTCCAATCCCGCCTTCCTTGCATTCTTTTCCAGAGTGGGGTAACAATATTTCGAAAACCATCAGTCAGAAAAAGCTAAATGAAGTTCTGATATCATGGCAGTGCCCCGTGAACTGGATTGTTTTTAAAGCCCATGTATTTTTCTACATTTGGTATATACCACTACTTCATCATCCCATTGAAATACGTTCTATCAGCCAGCCAGCCATCATCATCCTTCAAAGTGCATCGGCAGGGCCATTTGGTACAACACAAAATAAAAAAAAAAAGGAGAAAAAAGGCAAGCAACCTGAATGGCTCCTGATGCCACTCCTCTCTCTCGAATTGTAGAAAAAAGGCAAGCAACCTGAGCTCCTGATGCCACTCCTCTCTCTCGAATTTCACTGTCACCATACCAAACACTTTAGGAAAAAGGAGCCTTGTGTAAGACGTAAAACATATTTGAGCTCACAGGAAAACGCATCGCTTGTGATCATTGCACTGGTGTGATGAATACCAAGCTCGCCAGCTGTCCTAGTTACAGGAAACAACAACATAATCCATGCAACCCATGTTTACGGTACAAATTGAGACCCGAACTTGACCTCCTTGTATGTTTTTTCAGTACTGGCAGGAAAAGGAAAGTCACTCGAGGAAACAAACGATTGACATAAACCCTTCCACAACAACGTGAAAGCACATTATTTACCCAGCTTTCTTTAGAGATTCAAAGCTTTCTGCCGGATATTACCTAAATGTAAAGGCAGTCAGCCAGCTAAACAAAAAGACTGTGTCATGAACTATAATATTACGAGGGCGGAGCTATTGAGAACAACAGGATTCTTTAATCAGAGCTGCTGAAAAGAGAAGCATTTCCTTCAATCTCCACTCAATTTGTTCCGGGAGTTGTAAGAAGTCGGTCACAGAATAAAATAATCCACCATCTTAATAACTCATTTCAGATTATATACAAAACAAAAACAGATCATGCTGTTCAGTGCCATTAGGCATAAAAACCTGTTCAAAATATCTATGTAGTTGAGACGGCACGTTTACAAAACTATCACTTGCATAGTCAACCAATGGCAACACCTGGAGTTCAATGGTCTGAAAGATATATAACAATTAGTCAGAAAAATGGCCACAGAAACATAAACGAAGCCAAGCTTGAAAACCAGGCACAGACAAGCTGGTTGGATCTCGACAAAGTTTTTCCTAGTTCATGTACTAAATACCTACATGTTTTTGACGTAAATATACGTCAAAAATTAATAGAGGATGTTCCTCATGGAATGTACGGAAGAAAAACCTGTGAAATAGAAAACTACGCAGTTATATCTACAAATCGGCTCAAGCATGGACGTGATGCCAGGAACAACTTCAGACTAACATATTGTTCCCTCTAGGCTTCAAGGAGCGGAACGAAGATACAATCAGAGCTCTCTAAGTTATCACTGAATCCACCCTAATCGACTTTAATTACAATAGCTTACTATCACTTGAATTGCCACTCTACTGATCAGTTTCCGCAGGTGACGGATCAATGTGCACTTGGCGAACGAATTGTCCTTTCACTCTAGGACGATGCTCAGCAAGTTTTTTTCTGCTCTCATACCGAACCTGCACATAAATTCTTTTTTTTTAAAAAAAAAATGAACCACATATTTACTATTCTAATTGTGGTGTAGTTAAGTGTTTCTCACTATGTCACTGTAACCAGACAATAATCAATGCTAATCGTATTATTATGTTGCTGCAACAGTGGTGAAGATGACAGATGAAGGTGATACCATACCTTCTTCTCATAGCATCTCTCTTTACGCTTCAAGCGAAACTTAGTTAGAGCTGCTTCTCTTTGAATAGATCTATGAGAGTATGAATGTGTGAAAGCACCTTCCTCATTCTTGCTCTCAGAAGCATCCCTGACAATAGCAACTTGATCAACATTTCCATTGCTTCCAGAAGTGCTTCCATAGCCCATGCTGTTAAAGTGACTTGCAGCACCATTACAGAAACTGCTACTTGCACTCTGATCAGTGGCAGGAGAAATAAGTCCTCTATCTTCCAAGGAATCCAATCTGTTTTCTTGCTTTTTTAGTGAACCATTGGTGGAATCATTTGTATGCTGACCAAGTCGATCATAGAGCTGTTCGGAGGTGCTCCCATGATTGGAATGTTGAAATTGGTTCACTTTATAGGTAGGCTCTTGCTGGCAAGCTGAACCTGGACTCATCGCTGGTGATAAACCTGATTGTTTGCAAAATATTGGGGGAAACACAGAGCCATAACTGTTGCATAGATTATTGAGTCTTGTTTCCTTTGCTTGAATTTGGATCGGAAACACACTTTGTCCAGGAGATGAAGTTGCAATTTCAGATTCCTTGGTTTGACCAGCTGCCAGAGAGATATCACTTTTTTGAGTGCTTGGTGCTAGACTCAGGGCATCAGAGTTGCAGCCAGTACTGGATATTTTTCTGTCATAATTGGTTCCTAATTCCTTCTGATTCCCAGTACTTTCCAGTGCTGAATGTGGAAGCTGCAGAGGCCTGTTAATGTACCTGCAGGAGCATCATTGAATGTATTAGAAAACAGATGCTACAGGGTATATCATTTTATCTCCTGTTAGTTTAGTGACAACCAAAACATAAATTGTATCAAGGATATAGCGAACAGAAATAGGAACTCACTGGGTAAAGGCTGAGGCATTAGAATGCTGGAGAGCGCATCTTTCTTCTGTATGTCGAATCTCAAACCCACTTGGATGAGATCTTCTCAAGGAAAGATCCAAATGTGGAGAAGAATCAAAGTTGATTTTGATGTTATTGAAAGAAGAACTGCGATTAGTAGATGCTCCCATGAAATCAAAGGCTTCTCTGTGAGAGTTGGCAAGGGCACCATAGTTGTCACAACTCTCAATGGCAACATAAGCATCCGTTCTTCCATTTCCTGGAGAAATTTCCATATCCACATCCATTTTATTAGCATCCTCGCGGGCAGCTGCAGCGGAACCTAATTCAAGTGAAACATACATAAAATGTCAGTTATCCTCAAAGAATTTAACAAATAAGATAATGCTCGATGAAATTGTTCAGTACTTTTACCTTCAGCTTCTCTATCATGCAAAAGCAATTTCTGACCCAGATTCACATGCATTTCAGGCTTCTGAATATTCATGTCAGTCAACGAAAATATGCTCCGTACAGGCTGCAAAAATTCCTGCATATTTTCCATGTGAGTGCTCTCAGCTTCCAAGTCTGGCCTTGTACAAGAGCTCTGCAAGAGAAAAAAAAGCATCCACTCTCTACATGAAACCTCATGTAGCCAACCAAAACAGGAAGGAAATTTCTTTTAATCATAAGTAGACTCATAAATGAAGATATGTATGTCCTCGATGATATATACATTTGAGGTTCTAGAACCATTCAATTAGCCCATGAGTCTCATTTACCTAAGGGATTCAGCATTCTAGATGAACTGTGAATCAATTCGTAGGATGAGACTGATATGGAATCTGAATAATTCTAGAATAAGCAATTGAAATAAGTTCATGACTGACTAAGAGGATGAATTGAAACAATGACTAAAGACTTAAAAGATGGTGTTCTCATTCAAATTAAACCTGACAGGGTTTCAGTTGAGGCTATAGCAGAAGAATGGGTCCATGTTGTCCAAATAATGTTTCAACTTTCAAGCACCATGACCTAATCTGAGTAAGTTGTATTTGGCTTCAAATGTTTCCGGCTTTTCGACTATGCACTGCAAAATTCACCTCAAAAACATCTGAGGCAACTTTATTTTCATTTAATACGAAATCTTCACATGCGGCTACTAATAAAAGAGATGTGAATTGGCAGAATGGTAGTTATGCTTTTATTACAGAAGCACATGAAAGAACAAACTTCATCTTTTTAGAGAGGTCTCATGCTAAGCCATGCACCAAGAAAAGCATATGCTCTCTCATATATGAAAGAGTACTAACCTGAGCATCACTCCCTTTCTCTGTTTGCCCTTTACTCCTCTGAATAGAAGCCATTTCTCCACTTGCATGATTGCTGGCAGGACTATTTTCTGAAGTGGCTTCAATCTTGTCCTGTCCAACGCTTTCATCTTGGGGGCCATTTCCTCCAGCAAGGGACTGAGAAAGTGGGAACTGGTTAGGGCTCATCTAGAATGATAAGTTAATAACCTTCAATTAACATGAAAAGAAGAGAAAATGATATAAACGATTAAGTGAATAGAAGACATACAGATTGTCTTCTCCATACATGTTGCCACAAGTTTCTCAGTTCATTTTTCCTTAAAGGCTTAACAAGATAGTCAGCAGCACCTCTCAACATGCATTTATAAACTGTACTAATTGAATCCTGAGAGGACATCACTGCAAAATCACCCAAAAGCATTGATGTAAGTTCCCTTATCATGAGGGATAATTAAATCATTTCTATTCATCTAGAAATTCATTCTTCCTATCATACTTATGACTGGAATGTTTTTGCAAATCTCATGCTCCATTATAATAGTAAGAAGAGGATATCCAGATATTGAAGGCAAATCCACTTCAGTCAATATGAGGTCTATGCCATGTGGCCTTCCTTTCAGTATCTCCCATGCCTTTAAGCCGTCAGGAACACTAACAACTGCTCAACAGAAAATAAAGAAGAAGAAGAAAATCATCTCAGTGCTTACATAACGTTATGAAATATTTATCATCTGGCATATAGTTTAGTACTGAATACATTGCGACATCAGGTGGTGGAAATAAAACAAGTCAAAAGGACAGGAACTCTCTCACACCAATAGTCAAATTTCCTAAAGCCTGCAAGCACAGGATCCCTCACACCAAGAGCCAAATTTCTATCTTAGGCCTACCAAAGGTAGGGCGAGCTCTTTGACAGTGACTTCTAGTAGGGCGATGAAAGGCTACTTCAATCTAAGTGGATATAAGGAGTTCATGTCCCGGTAGTATAAATTGTCCTCATATGGATGTCGCCAGGTATGGCAGCATGTTATTAGCCATGCTGGGAAAGAAGAGGATTTGCTTTGCATCGATAGAAGCTCAATAAGGTGTAAAAGATAATTATTTTTCTTTTTCAGCACAATGCCTACTTCAAATGACCATGAATCTTGAACTGTTTAAAATAATGAGTGTTGCGAGATATATATAAAAAGCTATTTCCATGGTTGTTTTTAAGGCCAAAGTCCACCATTCCATGTGTTTCTGACTTGTTTTCTGCTCCAGAGTCCCGGTTCTCAGGCAATTTAGGTTCATTCATATTTTCCAAACTTGGAAAAGTTATTTTTCCACGCCCAACAAACATCCAATATCCCTACAAATTAAGATTAGACTTGCTTTAAGTGGATGTCTGTTGGCTTTTTAGAGCTTTCTTTTGTTAGATGCATCAGGACTGATTCAAATCACTTGTATCTTACCAGTTTCTGTAAATTTGAAATTTTTTTTTCCTTATTCCCTATATGGTTATCGTTCAACTTATCCATCAAAACCAGAAGAGCAAGATAGTAGAATTAAAAGAAAAAAGGAAAACATGTTCCTGGTTATAATACAAAGAAGATCTTTTCCTGGTCTCAAAACAACTAGAAATCATGTCAATAAATAAGTAGCTTAACAAGAACTTAACCTCAAATCACAAGCTGCACATAACAGTCCTTTCTTCAGAGGTCAAGTTTAGATCAACATACATGCATACTTAAATTAAAAAAAACCTGCAACTTGAGTCCCAAAACCATAATGTTACAAAACAAGACTCCTCATTTCTCCATCAAACAAAACATAAGCACACGTCACAAGCAACCATGCTTAAAAAAAGATAACACAAACAGAAAAACCAACAAGAACCCAGTTCACAAGAATAATCACAAAATTAATAAAAAAAAAAAAAACAACAATTGAACCAGTTTGAGAAACAAGATCAAGCAACTTACCTCTATAACTACATTTCCTAAGAAGAGCAGCAATTATCTGTCTAGTTGAATCATCAGCTTCAACTAACAGCACCCTCAACACCATTCTTGGTAGAAACCCGTCCCCTCTCACTAACCCGTCATTCAAACCTTCACCTTCTTTCTTCTTTTTCTTCTTTTTTTTCACCTCCCCTGCCGTTTCTTCTTTACTCTGTTTCCTCTGTTTTTCCTCCTCTCTTTCACTCTTTGATCTCACTTCCAATTCTTCACCACTACTAATCACTACCTCCCCCATCACGTTACAATCTCTCCCTGCCTCTAAAGTCACAGTATTTTTTGCACTTTTTTTTGGGAGGTGCTTTTCTTGGTCTTCTTGTTGGCAAGCGCAGCATAAAACACAGAAAAATCTAACCCTCTCCTAAAAATTCTAAAAATATCTGAAACAACCCACCACCTCTAATATCGTCCCAAGATCCTATGGCTGTGAAACAGATTCCATTGCCTACCCCATCTGATCCTACAGTCCACAATTTGCCATCCCTAAAAATATCTAAAAATATCTAGATGCCACTAGTGTATGGGTCCATATCTGGACACATCAGCCACCCCATCTGTGTACAGAGTCCATGTATTTAGTAGTACCAACGTGTGGTGTAATAGTGTTTAAGGATCAGAAGTGAATGGATGGCTCACTGGGAAGCTTTGATCTCTTTAGTTTGGTGGTGCATATTTAAGGGTCAACAACAAAAGGCGAACAAGTTTACTCCACTTCCTCTTAAACCAGCTTCTCCTCTCTCAGATATTTCTTCTGATATTTTGCGAGTGGAGGATAACTTTTTCATCTGGGGTGTTGAGATATTTTTGCAAGTGCTTCGGAGGAGACACTTGCCATCTCATGGTTGGGATTTTTCCACATGGAAGGGCATTAATAGCGTGTTTATAAGTGACTTATGGGTTATTTTTAAAATGTTTTTTTATTTAGAAAATATGTTAATAATATTTTTTAACTTTTAATATTATTTTAAAAAAAATTAGTATATTAAAATAATTTAAAAACATAAAAAAAATATTAATTTAAAAAAATTAAAAATATATTTTTAAAAGACAATACTTAAACACAGAATGGTGATGATTTGTCATAAAAAAATATATTAATTTAAAAAAATTAAAAATATATTTTTAAAAGACAATACTTAAACACAGAATGGTGATGATTTGTGGTGGCGGCTTTTGCCTGCCAGAGATGACATGCTTCTTTTTTAATTGGGCTATGGGAGCTTCACTCTCTTTGATCATGAGATCTTGCGTCTACTCGCTTGATTATTGAAGGAAATGGCATCCAAACCAATGTAATGTATCCACTGACCCTCCTCTTGGACACCATGGGGGCTTCGATTTCTCCTCCTGTTGTGTTTGCTTTTCATTGGACAATTGGGATTGCATTCATCTATTTTACATGATAAATTAAACTAATCAAGTCATTAGAATCCTCGTGTCTACTTTAATTATCAGTCACCCTCTAGCTTGTACGTGTGTGGCCATCGTTGAAGATGATGATGTGTTGCCTGGTTTGCTTACAAGCTTTAGATTGTAGCTAGTGGGATAAGCTGTCCTCACAAAAATGCAAAAGCAACGCCACGTGGCTCTCATGATACGGACCCTTCGTGCCCCCTTTATCCTTTTCCTTTCTCGTATTTTCCTTTAAAAAACTCTTCAAAGTTGAATCCACAACTTTAATGGCAAGGCAGCACAACATAGGAGCGAAGGGTAGCAGCTCGTACACATGTTTAGCGAAGGGTAACACCTCCTAATAATACTTGATATCATAAGGGTTTAGCCTCACTTTAATGGAAATGCTTAGTGTTCAAGGATCTTTGTTCTTTTTTCTAGATTTTTAAAGTTGGATTCTAAGGCTATCATCTAATATATATATATATATATATATATAATTTAGCAATATGAAACATACTTTTAAGATTATTTATAAAGTTAACGTTTAATTATTATTTTGAGAATAATTTGAACCTTAAACTAACATACAAGAGAATTTCTTCTTCTTACAATAAATAAAAAGAAGAGTTCGACTGAAACACATACAAATTGCTTTGAAATCTTCCATAATTGTTGAAAAAATGAGAAAAATAAAAGTCTAGACTTACTAAGATTTTGTTTATGAATAGAGACTAACCTAAACATTTGATCCAATTTGATGGTTGAATCAATTAGCTCGATGACTTAATTTTTGGTACTGAATGCTTTGACATTAAGAATTTAATCACACAAAAAGAATTTGATTGGCTTAAAACCAACAAAGCTTTCAACTCCCTGCCCACAATTAGGCCCTTCTAATTCAACATATTTCCTTATCTTTTCTTTTTTCTTTTTGTGATTTTTGTCACAGATTCTGGGCAGAAGAAATTGGAGGCCAGAGCAAGATCACACTTAGTCATATGTTCAAGCATAAGGAAATGAGATATGGGCACCAACACATTGAGGCCATAAGCCCATTCCATAATACCACTAAGACATGAAGATTGAAATGGGCTCATGAGCCTAAAGATTCAGTCCACATCTTGTGGGGACCAAACAAAACCCAGCATTGAACATCCATCGGCTGACGTGTCCTTATCCATTTCTCTTGCCAGAGAGAGATCTTTCCAAAAACCTCACGTTTTCCTACGTTTTCCAGCAATCCAAACAGACCTCAAAGAAAAATTGGCGATGGCTTCTCTTGTCGAAGGTACTTTGCAGACAAGCTTTAACAACCCATTTGTCTCATTATCACCAACATCACCTAAGACTTCACTAGCTTCTTCTTCAGTCATTTCTACCAAGACCCAGATCCCAAAATCATCTCTCAAGTCCAGTTTTTTAGGCAAAAATATGAGCTTTATTGATTTGGGAAGGACAGCAAGGACACCTTTAACCCATGGTGGTTACTCAGTTAAGATGTCATGGGATGGTCCACTTCACTCTGTCAAATTAATCATTCAAGGCAAAAACTTGGAGGTTTTGCTTTAAACTCTCTAAAGATTCCAACTTCTAAATTTACATTTCTAATTCTTTATGTCTTTGAATTCTTTAAAATGATTCAAGTTTTGATTTAATTTTTTTTTGTTATTTACTGTCCAAATTGTAAATGTAACAAAATGTTTGGTTTGGTATAGTTAACTGATACGGTTAAGAGACATGTGGAAGACAAAGTAGGAAAGGCAGTTCAAAAACATAGTCATCTTGTTAGGGAAGTCGATGTAAGATTGTCTGTTAGAGGTGGAGAGTTGGGGAAAGGTCCGAGGATTAGAAGATGCGAGGTACCATTTACATTTTTAATTGAAAATTAGCTTTCATGCTCTTGGGTTTGCTTTAAATTGGTTGTTTTCTTTTCTTCATGGCCTGGTTTTCCTTGTAGGTGACTTTGTTTACAAATAGGCATGGAGTGGTGAGAGCAGAGGAAGATGCTGAGACAATCTATGCAAGTATTGATCTGGTGTCGTCAATTATTCAAAGAAAGTTGAGGAAGATTAAGGAGAAGGAGTCTGATCATGGTAGACACATGAAAGGGTTTAATAGGCTGAAGGTTAGAGAACCAGTGCCACAAGTGGTGGAGGGTGATGCGGATGAAGTTTCACAGCAAGAAGTTGAGGACTCCATCGAAGAGGTTTGTCTCTCTTAAATTACTGTTTAATCAAATTAATCTCGTTGTTTATGTTGTCATTATTGTTTTTGCTTCTATTTGGTTGCTATGCATTGTTTTGCATCACCAAATTTAAGTCTCATCTGTTCATGAGTTCATTCAATATGGTCATAGAATAATCTATACACCATAAAGAGCTCTTCCTATTCCACCATCTAGTGACCAGTGTGGCATGTCTAATTTGCAGAAATTTAGGATCATACCTTGTGCCACGGCTAATGCCATGTTGATTCTCTTAGCTAATCATTTATAGACTCCGTGAAAGGAAATTGTTTCACACAAATTTTGTGCTCATAAAGGATTTGAGTCTCAATCTTTTCAAATTATGGCATGGCACTGAAAATTCTTCCTTGCAGCTTGGTGCCATTTTGTAACAAGCCTAGCTGCTGGAAAATTGAACAACTCACTGTTGAAACTTATACAATGAAAGAAAATAACAAAGCCAAGCCTTGTTCCTAGTTCTGAATTATTCAAGGTAGCCAACCTCCTAAATTTCTAAACTAAAGACATAACAGAATTCACTCTCAGATGCCCCTACTGCAGCCAACAGTGGCTGTTATTTATATTAAGAAACTGGAACAGAACAAGCTAAAGAAATGGGAAAAGAAATTCAAATTTCCTTCCCCCCTGCTGCCAAGGAATTTGAACTTCAAGTTCTTTATCTCCTTATCTAGAGATCTTGTTGAGTGGAGTTTGTCCCATATATGTTCTGCTCTTAGAGTTAGAGTGTGTTTGGCAGTGTGGTAGCGGTTGCGTTTCAAATAACTTTTTATGCCGAAATGTATGCCAATAATGTTTTTTTATTTTTTAAAAATTATTTTTAACATCAGCACATCAAAACGATCTAAAACGTACAAACCATATTAAATTTTAATAAAAATAAAAAATAAAATTGTTTTGAATTTTTTGGGAATGCAGGTTCAACCGCGTTTCCAAACACAGCCTAGTCTTCCAACCAGGATAAGACTCTTTCTTAAACTTTGAAGTTTCACTGTTATCTTCCCTCAATTTTTTTCGATATTGTTGGTAACAGACTGTTACACAATGCACTGATACCAACAATTGAAACTATATAAATAACATTCCTTCAATTTGTAACTTTGTTAATTCATTTCACTGCGAACCTCCATATATCATTCTTGTCTGCCATAGATTCTCTCTCTAAATTCTAAACTGATTGCCAGGTTGTTCGCACAAAGTTTTTTGACATGCCACCTTTGACTGTCTCGGAAGCTATTGAGCAGCTGGAAAATGTCAATCATGATTTCTATGGTTTCAGGAATGAAGAAACTGGTATGAACTTATGCAGCTTGTTTCAATTTGTTTTTCACTTATCCTCTGCAATCTGTTAACTTGTATAGGTACTGAATTGCTGTGTGCTTGTTTCCAGGTGAGATAAATATTGTTTACAAAAGAAAAGCTGGTGGATATGGTCTCATCATACCTAAAGGAAATGAAGAAGCTGAGAGATTAGAGCCTTTGGTGGTAGAACCAGCTAGAGAATCATCATTGGCAGAGTAACCAGGCCTAGAAAATAAGATCTTCCTAAAAAATAGATTACAAAACCCACGTTTTTGGTAATGCTGTATTTACAATGCTAAGGCATCTAAGAGAGCATGATATAGGGTTCGAGACCTGGTGAGCGCACACTAACGAGATGTCATGACATGATTGTACTGGTTATTAGATTTTGGAAGATTAGGTTCAGTGTGCCGTGTCCCAACTTTTACTGGAATGAGAAGACAAATCTTGCAATTTATAAGATGGAAATCAATTCGATAAATTCTTCTTTCGATGCGGACGAGTCTTAACTATTTTCTCATTCCTGTGGATTTTCACTTCTTTGTTATGTAATGGAAATCAATTCGATAAAGTCTTCTTTCCTGTTGTATTTTCTCGTCATGCTATGTATGGTTCTTTGCTTGCTGCCATGTTTGGTTTTCCCTGGTTGGGAATTCTCTCTAGCGAAGTCTTGCACGAGCCTACTTCTGCGAAACTTCTGCCTATGTTCAAACAAGTAAAAATTCGATTTCTTACAACATGTGCCTCATCTGACCCAGTTTAGGTCGTGGCTTGCATTTGCCTTCCAGAGCGGTGGAAAACTTCTTGGTGAAAGAGAT